GTTTACTGTACTTTTACAATTATTCTTTATTTTGCAATTAATATGGACAACTGTTGTCTTTCTGTCGCCCCTTGTCTCTCGTTTTATCTACTGCTCTATTTTAATATCCCATCCATATCATTATTTATTCACTGTTATTTGTTCAATTCGCCTATGCGATATCAATTGGAAAAAAAGAAGGCAGTCAAATAATTTGTCACATGGTGTGGCGATTGGAGGCTTAACTCACAGACAGACAAACACATACACAAGCACAGCTCTGAGAACGCCCGCTCTCGCAGACACACGCACACGCATACACAAACAAACTGAAATCTATTCACGCAATAGTCGTGTATGTAAACAAAGCGGGCACACACACACACACACACACACACGTAGAGCAGCACGCTGCACGTGTTTTGTGTGTGGGGGGAAGAGTGAAATAAATTGGCAAGCAGCGGCAGGCTGAATGAGTTGAGTTTTGTTTGGTTGTGGGAGGCGGCAGAACTCACCTCTTATTGATAAATCCATAATGTTCTCACGCTCTCTCTCCGCGCTGCTACTGCGACTGCGGCTGCGGCTGCTGCTACTACGAATGCTACTCTCGGCAGACATTATGAATATTAGCGCGCAAAAATAAAACCGAAACTGTTTCGCTCCAAGAGCAACAACAACTGCGTAGCAACAGGCACTTGTAACACAAATCAAAACCGAAACACTTGTAAAATGAATAACAAATTATGAGCGCTACGATCACGCAAGAGAGCAGCGCTGCTGCTGTTGCTGCTGCTGCTCCGCCGGGGAGGATTGGTCACGTGGTCGCCCTTGGGGAGATCGAGAGAGTGCTTTTATTTGTTTTTGCTGCCCCAACAACAACTGCCGGGGAGATAGAGCCTGCAGCAGTAACTCTAACGAAACGAAACGAAACACAAACAAAGAGAGATAGAGATAGATTGAGAGAGTGGCTGCCGATATACAGGTCCAATATCAACTCTGACCAGAATACTCGGCAGCGCACGGCACACAGCTGTTGTCTCGCTCGCACCATTGCTGCATTATATAAGGCTTATGTAACTGAGAAACAACAAGGCATGCGCACGGGGCCACAGTGGGACACAAAAATAGCAACGCAAATGAGATTTTTGATGGGATTTCTGTGTGTTTATATGTACATATATATTTATACATATATGACTAATTTTGACGCTCGATCTGGCTATTTTTGGTTATGCCCATCAACTAATGAGTTTTTAGCATCAGCTCAAGTTGCAGCAGGATGAGAGGTATAGCAAAAATGCTTGTTCTCCCTTTTCTTGTTTGCTACCAGTTCTAAAGAAATAGTCTCTAAATGGAACTCAGTTAGTTTCATTGTTTCGTCATTTAAAAACAAATACAAATTACTCAACGCCACACAATCAATTTGATTGGCAAGCTGTCCGCCTATCTAGATGTGGCCATAAGTCCACAGGATTTGTGTGTGGGATTATGTTTGTGCACCGGCAACCGGGGCACGGGGATTACTTTTGGAATATATGATAAAGCACTACTAATGCCCATACCCATCAAATTCCCCACTTGACAGTTAGAGACTGAATAATTTGAGGGTGTTTTATTTATATAATTATCTTCTGTATTTCGAATTTCTAACGGATAGAG